CTATTCAGGAAATTCCGAATAACCAGCTCCTACTTTGATAAATGATGTAGGAACTATAAAGAATTTACTCAATCCTTCTCTTTAAGAAGATACCATGGAAAGGTCAATCAGGATTTCAAAAACGTATAAGGAATCCTTTCCTAGCCTCTTCATCCCCAATCTTTGCATTTAAGGCAAATTCCTCCCATTGCCAAAATCAAAGAGTTTTTAAAAATCAGTCTTTGCTTTCTGCTTAAAAATTATGCGGGGAGATAGTTACACAATGGTCATGATTTATGCTCCAGGATTCAAACTACAAAATTATATTTATGTTTACAATCTTCCCTACATACATATTGACAGACAAATTTTCTTAAATTGCCTTTACCATGTAACTTGCCTATTCCAAAATGGAAAAAAACGAATCCCAGCTTCTAATAGCAACAAGACTCCCACTGAGATATTCAGATCCCCTCCCTGGCCACTCACATCCCCCACCCAGCCCTCCCTCCCTTGGCTAATTTTATCCCATCCCAGCCCCTAACCCAGACACACAGGGACGCCCCCCTGCCCCCCCAGCTGGCTGACCGGAGTCCCACCTGCCCGCAGGGCTCGGAAGCTCTGAGAGTTCAAGCCCACAGCAGGATTTTGCCTTCTGAGAAATATGGCCCATCTGGCCACAGCCATGAAACTTAGCATTTAATTAGTTTAATACAAAACAAAACTACGTGTAAAATTTGTTTTCCGAACCTTCGACAAGCTCCCCAAAGCATATGATCTGTCTTTACATATTTTTGTTTCCCCCACAGTGATGAAAGCAGCAAAATGCCTGCGACTTTTTAATTTCTTTTTCTTTTGTTTATTGTGGGAAAACACATACAACATAAAGTCCACCACTTTAACCGTTTTTAAGTGTACAGTGCCAGCGGTTCACACTTGTTCTGCAGTTCCAGCACATTCCCCCCCTTGTGCAACCACCACCGCCACCCATCTCCAGAGCTCTTTGTGACACTCTTGTCATCATCTGAGGGGGGGCAGACAGGAAATCACCAGTCTGTTTCTAATGATAAAAATCCAGTTTTAACTCATATCATTGAACACTTAAAAAGGGTGTATTTTTCTGTATGTTTATTATACTTAAATAACACCGACGAGAAGCAAAGTCAGGGGGATGAGTGACAGATGAGCTGGTGACAGCTGGGACCTAGACCACAGAGGGCAGGTGAAAAGGGAGAGAGCAGGGGACATGCCAGCCTTGGAAGGGTCTGCAGAGAGTAGCGCATTCACTCGCTCATTCATTGCCAGCATTTGTGAGTACTTCTGTTCCAGATACTGTGCCAGACACTGCAATCGATCAGATGTGTGTTTCGGAAGTCTTATCCTGGCTGCATTAGAGATGGTTGAGGAGGAGAAACCAGTGGTTTTTGCAATGCACAAGGTGAAACTACTAAATTAAGGCAGTAGCAGAGGGGATGGAGGCAAAGGTTGCACACAGTTTTAGTTTTACCTATTAACAGAGACACCACAAAACCACAGGTCCCATCATTTTGTTCCTATTTTTTAGATCACTTGAACCAATGGTTATTTTGGCCTGATTAAATTTTATGTGGCATGCTCAACAAGCACTAGGTAAGATCTGTCGGCAAGGAAGAACCTGCTGTACAGATAAAAATACGTAAATTGAGCATGTGCTATGTTCCAGGCTCTGTGGTGAAAAGAGTCTAATTAGATCACTATCACTTTGGTGGAACAGTGATGGCCCGCATGGTGAGAAAGCTGCTATTCCACAAAGCTTCTTGTGAATGAAACTGGAGATGACTGGAAGGTTTATCAGGGCAGGGAATGGTCAAACCAATTGCAGGAAATCACACTGTGAAATGCACGCATGGGCTTTATACGTGGTCCTGGGCACGATCTCCAGAACATGCTGTTAGGCGAAACGTGAGTTGCAGAAATATTGCACAGCACGACAGCTTTTACGTAAAAACTCTGACTTGCTTGTACACACAAATATCTGCGTAACTGCAAAGAAAAAAGTCAGGACAGATAATATGTACGGGGCGTGGAGTGGGAGCAGAGAACTCTGTGCTCCACACAGCACTGAGCCCATCCCATGTTCCTCGCACAGGAAGGCTGGTACAGCATGTGAGGAGGCTGCATTGCACCGCAGGCTCGCAGCTCTTCCCCGCAGCCTTCACTGGCAGCTCGAGTCCTAGAGTGATCCCCGTAATAACCGCTAAGGCCATAAAACGTGTGTCGTGTACATACGCGTGTGCATTTTTTTTAATTTGCCAAATTGCTTTTAAACTATTTTTAAGTGACTGGAAGTTACGTATCTCAGAAGACATTTACGATGAGAACATGTTGCCTATTGCAAAGGAACTCTCCTTGAATTATAAGAAAACTGTTTAAGAGAAATAAGTAATGTATTTAATTTATTGTCACTTAATTAATTATAAGGTTACCTTTAGAACAAAAAAGTGTTCTTTGCAAATGAGCAAATCAACATACAATAATCTTTGCTCTTACAGTTCAAAACACACTAAAATAGTATGCAAGCAGTATTAATACTTTCCTATTTCTAAAATTATAAGAGCATGTTGATGCAAAGGAGGTATCTGGCAATGGTAGACCTGGTCTGAGCTTGGGCTCAGCCGAGGATTTTGTTTTCTTGATTTTCAAATGAATATTTCCTAGAAATACTAAATATAAAATTGGGTTCAGAGTGGTAGAGACTTTTTACATTTTTTAAGCTTTATAAAGAATGTTTAAAAAGGCAGTTTACAAAAGACCATTAACAACTGTTGCTGGCTACAACTAAAATGCTAATTTGAGGCACTGGCATGGCACTTTCAGGGCCCTGTTCCAAACGGAATTTTTCAGACAGATTAAAATTGTACTCTTCTCAGCCTCAGCCCACTTCAAGTTTAAAAAAAGCCGGCAAGATAGTAGGTGTAAATGACTAAGAAGGGGCCCCGAGAGATGGTCTGAAAGCGAAAGTGTTGGGAGCGCCACGCAGAATGTCTCCATGAGAAGTCTAGACTATCTGTAATTTGCTGATTGTGAGCGAAACCAGATTATTAAGAGACCTTGCAAAGCGAAGAGCTACAGGAGCACAAAATGCTGGGAACCGTGGGCTGGCCTACAGGAACAGGAATTCCAATACCCCTTCGCACTATCATCTATGACCCAAAGTGACATTTAGGAGTGACTCCTATCACAGATGCAAAAAAATGTGGGAGAAGGAGGCGGACAGACATCTTTAAGTGCCAAAAAGGCACTGTAAAAATAAGAGCGGGAAGAAGAGAGAAACTCCACAACTGCCACACCAACATCTACAAGTTCTTACCCAGAGTGGACTGAGTTCAATATTACAGCACAAACGCAGCAGACAAATCAGGGATAATTTTTTAAATTATTGATTTTAACCTCATTATACTGAGTAAAATGGCAGTTATTTTTTTCTGTGACCTTCGCAGAGAAGTATAAAATGGCAATTATAACTCCGAGTCTCCCAAGGCCCTGCGGCATGTACTTCCTAGAGAAATAACACCTATTTGTTTAACACCGGCAGACAGGACACAAAAGATTCCAAGTAGGAAGAACAGGTCAGTTTTCAGGACTTCGACCAGATCTCTTTCTACTGCTTGGACCATTCTTTGAGAATCAGGGCTTTCCCGGCCCCCAGGAGCTTTTGTGTGAACCGGAAGAGGCGTGCCCCTGCAGAGGCAGCCACATCCTGGGCACATACCTGGCAAGCAGGCCGTCCCCAGGCAATGGAAAACCCATTGCTGTTTCTGGGTGGGCTCGGGGCAGCTCGAGAGATGAAGCGACAAAGGCTACGTTTCTGCCTCATCTCCCCTTTTGGCTGTGTAGCCTGGTGCAGTGAAGAACCTGCACAACTTGGGAAAATTATTCTTTAGCAATTTAATAATAGTTACCAGATGAGTAACATGAATCTATATATTTGACCTAAATGATTCAGTGGGAAAGATCAGAGGACTTGGTAAAGAAACCGTCATAATTACATTAGCAAGCTACTTATTACATTATCTGAACTGAGTGTTTTAAGAGAGTGCATCAGGAAAAGTTGATCTCTGCCTTGGTTATTATTTTGCCAAGAGTTGAGAAATCAAACATAAAACAACCCATAACAGAATGAGATATTAAAACACCATTAGGATTGCATTCCTCCACAGACTGCCTGCTTCCTCTTTTCTAAACACATCTGGAAATCTACTCGTCATCATGGCCTCAAAAGCTGCACCTTTATAGCAGAGCTGCTCTAAAAAGGAAGAACAGGGTGGCCGGTACTGATAGCAAACATAAAGTGTCCACTTTTTCCTGGGCCTAGCCCTCTAGCAAGCACATTTGTTTTACTTGTAACTGAATCAGCATCTTGAGAAATGTGTGACGATGGCATCGAGCTCACTGTGACGTTCTCAATGACCTTGCTGGCGTACTCCCCACTCCCTCGCTGCCACACCCTGCCAGGTAAGGACCAGTGTCCACGAAGCTCAGAAGCAGCAAACGGATGCTCAGGAAACCGGCCGAGTCCACAGAAACACAGCAAGAAGTCAGCCCTGTTTGTTCTCGGAAGGAAAAACCCGACTAGCTGCCCCGCAACGTCTCGTTGTCCACCAGGGAAGGTGGCAGCCTGGCTGGCCAGGCTTTGCCCACCTGGAAGGGGTGTGTGACAGCCACATTCTGCTCCGGCCAAGGACACAAAGGAAGAAGCAGGGCAAAGAACAGAGGAACGAGGGGGCGTGCAAGGGAGGCAGGCACAGCTGCGCGGGCAAGGACGGCCGCAGATGCCGGCTCTGGGCACAGGACAGAGGACCCAGACCTGATGGTCCCCCAAGCCGCCTGGGAGCTCACGGAAACCGCGGTTTTAGTACGTTACAGCTGCATCTCTTCTTTAATTTTACATTAACAAACCCCTTCATTGAAATGCTTTAAATATCCACAGATGCTCTGGGAAAGGGCCCTCCTCTTCAAAGAGAAAAAATCTCCGTTCTTACCTCAATGATGTACAGGACCACATTCTTGTAGAAGCAGTACAGGATGCACTTGGTCACCCGGTTGTAGCTCCAGGCCCCGTGGACCAACAGAAGCTTCTCTAAGTAGGAAAACTAAAAAGGAAAAAAATAGCGAAATTCAGAGGAGCCTATCCTTGAGGAATAAAAGTCACAAAATGTGCCTCTGAGCAGAAGGCAGACAAGGTAGGTAGAGGATTCTGCAGGTGATCCGAGAAAACCATTCCCTAAAGGCAGAGCTTTCAGGCCCAGGGAGAACAACTGAAATCTTTTCTTAAATCTACATAATGGTTATTTTCCCCAAACATGCTTGACCGCCAATTATTATTCTCATGACATTCTATTTAAGCTGATGCTTTTCTGGGGTCTTAATTATTAAAAGAAGGTGACCTCCTGAACTGAAAGATGAGTACGGTGGGAATCAGATGCCTCTAAGTAACCACAGATTTTACGGTGACAGCAGGAGAAAGGGACAGGAACACTCTTGCAACTGCGTCTTGTTTTTAAAAAAGGAACACATATGTACATACTGTTACCGCTGTCAGCTTGCAGGCTAAAAACAATTACAGGCATGGAGACACATACAGACATACACAGATAGACAAAGACATGCAGACATAAAGAGATAAACAGACACACACACTCTCTCTCTGCCTCCACTTCTAGACCCATTTTATTCTCCTTTTTTCCCCCCAACGAGTACACAGCACCTCTTGCCGGAGTGTGATGTGCTCAGGAGCAGCTGGTGGATACTCAGCTGAGAGCGAGGTGACGGCTCTTGCAGTTAGAGACAGGAACCATGGAAGACACCCCAACAAAATACGCGAGTTCTCGTTGGGGCGGGGTTCCTAACTCCTCAGCCTCCCCTTAGCTTGGCTTTGCTGTCTGTGTTCTATTTTACAAAGATCTCAAAAAGTGAGAACCTTGAGGTGGAGGGAAGGAAATGAGTTTGTTTTTTTCTCGTTCGGTAGATGGCGTCACGCTCTGGCATGATCGCGTTGTTCGGGCAATTCTGTTTAGCATCACGTGATCGATCCGCCTCATGCAGGGCTGGGTTCCCCTTTGGTTGTCTTGAATGAAACCTTAATTCCCCCCGTTCTAAGCTGTGGTGTCAGCAAGGGCACAACAAGCATCAGCCCCATTACGCCGCTAGGAGAGACAGTTGGGCCGTATCGAGAGTGTCC